GATGAATTTCTATCTACTTTTCATAGGGAGTCAAGAATAACAAGAAAAATTTATGGCCTCTAATAATATATTGTTCCTTAGAACATATCACTTATAAGTTATCAGCTTTTCTCTGGTATCTTACGAGCGCAAGAATATTTACTGAGAACTATGTACATGACTTTAAGGTTTCACAAATAACCCGCACATAAAAGAGAGAAGCTTACGACGACGTTTCAGTCCGACTTGGACCATTTACAAAGTCACACAGTGTGACTTTGTAAATGGTCCAAGTCGGACTGAAACGTCGTCGTAAGCTTCTGTCTTTTATGTGCGGGTTATTTGTGTATCGTTCCAGTCACAGTATTGTGCCTTTTTTTGTTATTTAAGGTTTCATTTCCATTGACAAAAATAAAGTTACAAGTTATCCCCCGGAGATTTTCAGAACACTGGTAAATATATCAGATGTTGGACTTGGGACGTAATACAGTGGACCCTCAGTTATCGGCCGTGATCCATTCCAGAAGGTCGGCCTAAATCCGAGAAGGCTGAAAACTGAAATAATATTTCCCATAAGAATTAATGTAAATACAATTAATCTGTTCCAGACACCCAAAAAATATAAAAAAAAATACATTTTTAAAAAATTAACTATAGTTTTACATACACAAAACAATGAGAAAGAAATATAAAGTACTAATTTTAATAATGAATGAACATTACATACCTTATTGAAGACTCTTGTTGGCGTATGGAAGAAGGTGAGGAGGGGGGAGGTGGGAGGTGGGAGGTGGGAGGTGGGAGGGGGAGGTGGGAGGGGGGAGGGGGAGGGGGGAGGTGGGAGGTGGGAGGGGGGAGGGGGAGGTGGGAGGGGGAGGGGGGGGGGGAGGGGGGAGGAGGGGGAGGGGGAGGGGAGGGGGAGGGGGGAGAGAGTATTGTTTGGAAGGGGAATCCCCCTCCATAAGGACTTCAGTTATCAAAGTTCTCTCTGGGGTTACTTTCCTTCTTTGTCTTTTACTGCCACTAAAACCAGCTTGAGTCACTGGTCCCCTGTTGCACAAAAAACTGTCCAGAGAGCTCTGTTTCTGTCATCTCTTTAAGATTTGCCTGAAGAGGGGCAAGGTTTTTTCACTGAACATGTTGAAATTAAGACACATGTGCAACATCTGGGTATCTTTATTGTAGACGTTTCGCCATCCAGTGGCTTTATCAATACAAATTCCAGGACATAACTTGAAGACAGTAGAACTATATACAGAAGATGAGGTATTATATACCATTCTTGCACAACTGAACATGTTGCATATATGACATGTTTCAGCTTGGTCAGGGTGATATTTCTCTACAAAACTTTGCAACTCACTCCACTTTGCACACATGTCCTTCATCACTGAGGAAGGCACAGTCTCCCGTCTCTCTACCTCCTCCTCTGAAGCAATTTCCTCAGCTGTGATCTGCTGCTGCTGCAGTTAAAGGTCTTGCAGCTCTTCCCTGTGGTCCTCCACAAACTCTTCCACATCCTGGTCACTCACATCCAACCCCATAGACTTCCCGAAGAACACAATAGATTCCACAACAGGCATGGGGTCAACAGGGTCAGACTCAATCAAACCCTTCAAAATCCTTGTCGAGGACACATTCTGGCCACAATTTTCTCTATGCAGAGTTCAAAGTCCTGGAAGTCACTTCCTGCCAAGTCTTACCTATAAGGCTTATGCAGTGGAAGATATTGAAGCAATTCCTCCAGAACTCTCTTAGGGTCAAGTCAGTGTCCTAGGTCACTTCAAAGTACCTTTGAAACACTGCTTTTGTTTAGAGTTTTTTGAAGTTAGAAATGACCTGCTGGTCCATGGGCTGGATGAGAGGAGTGGTGTAAGGAGGCAAGAACTTCACTGTTATAAAACTTCAGTCCACAGACAATTGGTCTACCAAGTTTGGAGGATGAGTAGGAACACTGTCCAGTAGCAGGAGGCACTTGAGTGGCAATTTATTTTCCTGGAGGTATTTTTTCACATTCTGGCCAAACACTTCATGGACTCAATGAAAATTTGCCTTGTGACCCATGCCTCTATTATTAGCTTTCCACAACACACAATTTACTCTTGACAACACTGTTTTTCTTGAACACTGGGATTTTCAGAGTGATACACCAGTAAAGGCTTCCCTTTGAAATCCAAAATTTCATTACCACAGGACAAAAGAATAAGCCTATCTTTCATAGGCTTGTGCACTGGCAGTGCCTTTTCCTCCTGTGTGATGTAAGTCCTCTTTGGCATTTTCTTCCAAAAGAGGCCTGTTTTGTCACAACTGAACACTTGTTGGGGGAGGAATCCTTCAGCCTCTACGTACTCCTTGAATTCATGCATGAATTCTTCAGCCGCACGTTTGTCTGAAGTTGCAGCCTTGCCATACCTTACAACACTGTGTATGCCACTACACTTCTTAAATCTCTCAAACCAGCCTTTGTTGGACTTAAATTCACAAATATCAGCACTCGTTCCAGACATTTTATTCACAAGATCTGCATACAACTGCCTTGCCTTTTCACAAATGATCGACTCCAAAACTATCTCCCGCTAATTGTTTATCGTTGATCCACACCAATAATCTTCGATAATCTTCGACTATTGCTGACCTTTGTTTTGTTAGCATATTTACCCCTTTCACAACATTAGTTTCCTTGATTTCTACTTTCTTTGCCAGGATGGAAGTGATTGTTGATTTGGATTTGCCACACATTCTGGCAAGCTCCAGCACACGTACACCATTCTCGTACTTTGCTACAGTTTTTTTCTTGAATTTTATCGTGTTTCTCTCTTTACCAAAGGGCTGGCACTGGTGACTTATTTCGCAGTTGCACTCAATAAACAACCACAAAAAACAATGGATTGTAACAAAATGTTTGGATGAATGCACGGAGTCTTGCTCACTCACCAAGAGACACAGTCAGACTGACTCGCACACATGGCGGGTGGAAGCATCCAATACGGCCAATTTCCGAGTTGCCAGCCAAAATCCAGGATAGAATTTCGGCCAAAAAAGTGGCCGAAATCCGAAGGCCCACTGTACATAGATAAGTCCCCCACGAGCACCTCAAGTATGACCTAAAGGAATACGGCTCAGTTACAACAGAGGACTTCCAAGTAATGCACCTTCAGCTGTAGATCAGCTGCTACTGTCAAATGTGGGGAGGGGTGACCTGAGATAAGGTCGGATCACATGACATACTTAGAGGTAGCTCGGGTTAACCAGAGACTGGTCGTTACACTAGTGCTTGACAACTTGCACTGTTACACCTAACATAAGATTTTTAAACTGTTAAGAATATACAATAATTTTACAAGATTCTGTTAAGTAATTTATGTTGGCCACAGATAATATTAAACAGTCGGACCACCTGGTTGTCTTCAAGACCCCTGGTTGTCTTCAAGACCCCCTGGTTGTCAAGACCACCTAGTTGTCAAGACCCCTGATTGTCTTCAAGGCCCCTTGGTTGTCTTCAAGACCCACCTGGTTGTCCTCAAGACCCCCTGGTTGTCTTCAAGACTCCTTGATTGTCTTCAAGACCCCTGGTTGTCTTCAAAACCCTGGTTGTAAGACCCACCTGGTTGTCTTCAAGACCTCTTGGCTGCCTTCAAGACCCACCTGGTTGTCAAGACCCCTTAGTTGTTTTCAAGACCACATGGTTGTCTTCAAAACCCACCTGGTTGTCTTCAAGACCCCTGGTTGTCTTCAAGACCCCTGGTTGTCAAGACCCCTGGTTGTCTTCAAGACCACCTGGTTGTCTTCAAGACCCCTGGTTGTCAAGACCCCTGGTTGTCTTCAAGACCCCTGGTTGTCTTCAAGACCACCTGGTTGTCTTCAAGACCATTAAGAGAAAGCACCATAAGTGTCTGGGGCCCAAGACTGTTCAACAGTGTTGTACAGTATAGTATAGTACATTGTACAGTTCAGTATAGTACAGTGTGGTACAGTATGGTACAATGTGGTACAGTATAATACAGTATGGTATAGTATAGTACAGTGTGGTACAGTATGGTTGTGTGGTACAGTATGGTACAGTGTGGTACAGTATAGTACAGTATGATACAGTGTGGTACAATATGGTTGTGTGGTACAGTATAATACAGTATGGTACAGTATAGTACAGTGTGGTACAATATGGTTGTGTGGTACAGTATGGTACAGTGTGGTACAGTATAGTACAGTATGATACAGTGTGGTACAATATGGTTGTGTGGTACAGTATAATACAGTATGGTATAGTATAGTACAGTGTGGTACAATATGGTTGTGTGGTACAGTATAATACCGTATGGTACAGAAGTGTGGTACAGTATGGAAAGTATGGTAGTGTGGTACAGTATGGAAAGTATGGTAGTGTGGTACAGTATGGAAAGTATGGTAGTGTGGTACAGTATGGGTGTGTGGTACAATATGATTGTGTGGTTCAGTATAGTACAGTATGCTACAGTGTGGTACAGTATGGTAGTGATACAGTATGGCACAGTGTGGTACAGTATGGTTGTGTGGTACAGTGTGGTACACGATGGTACAGTGTGGTACAGTATGGTAAAGTGTGGTGCAGTATGGTACAGTGTAGTACAGTATGGAACAGTGTGGCACACTATGGTACAGCATGGTAGTGTGGTACAATATAATACAGTATGGTAGTGTGGTACAGTATAATACAGTATGGTACAGTGTGGTATAGTATGGTACAGTGTGGTGAAGTATGGTACAGTGTGGTGCAGTATGGTACAGTGTGGTGAAGTATGGTACAGTATGGTACAGTGTGGTGCAGTATGGTACAGTGTGGTGAAGTATGGTACAGTGTGGTGCAGTATGGTACAGTGTGGTGCAGTATGGTACAGTGTGGTGCAGTATGGTACAGTGTGGTGCAGTATGGTACAGTGTGGTGCAGTATGGTACAGTGTGGTGCAGTATGGTAGTGTGGTGCAGTATGGTACAGTGTGGTGCAGTATGGTAGTGAGGTACAGTATAATACAGTAGCCACCTACTTGTCCTTATTGTTAGGAAAGTCGAGGTTACATGACGTACAGTGGTACCGTTGCTGGCTGGGGTATGAGTGTACCTTCATGATATGGGACGCCAGTCTGGCCTTCCTAAGGTACAGTCGTCCACAGTCATCGCATTTGTAGTTGTGACGGTGTACTGTTGTCTCCTTACCCAGGTGCACCACCTGTAAGATGGTACAGTTATAATGGTGTACCGCTGATACCTCGCCCAGTTGCACCACCTGGAAAATGGTACAGTTATAGTAATGGTGTACCACTGATACCTCACCCAGCTGCACCACCTGTAAGATGGTACAGTTATGGTAATGGTGTACCGCTGATACCTCGCCCAGCTGCACCACCTGTAAGATGGTACAGTTATGGTAATGGTGTACCGCTGATACCTCGCACAGCTGCACCACCTGTAAGATGGTACAGTTATAGTAATGGTGTACCGCTGATACCTCGCCCAGCTGCACCACCTGTAAGATGGTACAGTTATGGTAATGGTGTACCGCTGATACCTCACCCAGCTGCACCACCTGTAAGATGGTACAGTTATAGTAATGGTGTACCGCTGATACCTCGCCCAGCTGCACCACCTGTAAGATGGTACAGTTATAGTAATGGTGTACCGCTGATACCTCGCCCAGCTGCACCACCTGTAGATGGTACAGTTATAGTAATGGTGTACCACTGATACCTCGCCCAGCTGCACCACCTGTAAGATGGTACAGTTATAGTAATGGTGTACCACTGATTCCTCGCCCAGCTGCACCACCTGTAAGATGGTACAGTTATAGTAATGGGTGTACCGCTGATACCTCGCCCAGCTGCACCACCTGTAAGATGGTACAGTTATAGTAATGGTGTACCGCTGATACCTCGCCCAGCTGCACCACCTGTAAGATGGTACAGTTATAGTAATGGTGTACCACTGATACCTCGCCCAGCTGCACCACCTGTAAGATGGTACGTTATAGTAATGGTGTACCGCTGATACCTCGCCCAGCTGCACCACCTGTAAGATGGTACAGTTATAGTAATGGTGTACCACTGATACCTCGCCCAGCTGCACCACCTGGAAGATGGTACAGTTATAGTAATGGTGTACCACTGATTCCTCGCCCAGCTGCACCACTGGAAGATGGTACAGTTATAGTAATGGTGTACCACTGATACCTCACCCAGCTGCACCACTGGAAGGTGGTACCACAGTTATGTAAGCCTAGCACCATCACACGAGTCCTGTCATTTTGACAAATCGGCAATTTTGCCAACTTTGGGGTTTATTTTAGTATTTCCTCCATTATGTGGACCGAGTGCAAGACACTGACAATTTAACTACAGTACCCTAAAAAGTGGACAGAATACGGCAATCGGTGCCAATTTTGCACAGTACAGTGGACCCCCGGTTTACGATATTATTTCATTCCAGAAGTATGTTCAGGTGCCATTACTGAACGAATTTGTTCCCATAAGGAATATTGTGAATTAGATTAGTCCATTTCAGACCCCCAAACATACACGTACAAACACACTTACATAATTGGTCGCATTGGGAGCTGATCGTAAAGTGGGGGTCTACTGTATTCAAAAAATTCCACTTCAGAAACAGAGTCAATAATAAAGACATTGCTGGCACTCAAACAACATTTCTTCTGTTTTTAGTCATGTCCTCAGGCCTCCCTAGGCCTCTCTCCTGTATTACATTTGACTTCAATTTTCAATTCTTATTCACACAAAAAATACAATATTTATTTCTCTGATAACAAAATATGACCAGAAATGAATGTTCATCGTTTACAGCCTCGCAATATCTGAATTAGGTTATAGGGCGGCGGCCTTACCCGTCCTCTGGAATATCGGCCAAAATTTAATATTTCTGCTACTATGAGCTCAATTACTCAAAAATCACCTCTCTTTCCATTCTATCAAATCATGCTAAAAATTGCCAAAAAAAAAAAACATTAAAACCACCTGAAAATACCCCTCAAGGTTGTTGTTTTAAACCAAACACGCAGTCCCAGTCTTGTCTCTCTCGTTGTCCAATGCGTGAGGCAGGATCTTTTCACAGAGACCCACTACCTCATATCTAGGCCTAAATTCACCATTCACAGCCTATCTGAGTGAGCCGAGCTCATGACTTAGAACCTAGATCAGGGACCCTCAGCTCAATGACTTCCATCTACATCATGGACAATAAAAGGGTCAATGATATAACCTGAACGATTTATGCTGACATATTGCAGTACTTAACTGTAGCATAGGGGCACTTCTGGCAAGACAGTGATGGAGTGTGATAATGTAAGTGTTTCTTCTTTTTCAGGTCACCTTGGTAGGAAATGGCCATTGGATTATCACTTGAGAATGCTATTCTCATCATCCCTATGTAGTGCATGATACAAAATGCAGAACTGGGATCGAGTGTTTGGTTTAGTTAAAACAGCGAGTTCGAGGTATTTTTTCGGAGGGTTTTTATGGTTTTATTGGTGATTCTTGGGCATCAGCTGATAGAATGGAAAATATACTACTGAAATAACAATGATTTTGAGCAATTTCAAGACTAGTAGTAGTTTAAAATTGGGCCCAAAGTAGGAGAAATATTCGATTTTTGCTAATTTTCCAGAGGACAGGTAAGGATTCCCTACAGCCCCCCACCCAGCCTGTTTTATGGGTTTTCAATAGGCCTAATCATCAGGGAAGAGAGAGGTGAAGGTTTATAAACTAAAAGAGGAGGCAGTTAGGGTAAGATATAAACAGCTATTGGAGGATAGATGGGCTAATGAGAGCATAGGCAATGGGGTCGAAGAGGTATGGGGTAGGTTTAAAAATGTAGTGTTAGAGTGTTCAGCAGAAGTTTGTGGTTACAGGAAAGTGGGTGCGGGAGGGAAGAGGAGCGATTGGTGGAATGATGATGTAAAGAGAGTAGTAAGGGAGAAAAAGTTAGCATATGAGAAGTTTTTTACAAAGTAGAAGTGATGCAAGGAGGGAAGAGTATATGGAGAAAAAGAGAGAGGTTAAGAGAGTGGTGAAGCACTGTAAAAGAGAGCAAATGAGAGAGTGGGTGAGATGTTATCAACAAATTTTGTTGAAAATAAGAAAAAGTTTTGGAGTGAGATTAACAAGTTAAGAAAGTCTAGAGAACAAATGGATTTGTCAGTTAAAAATAGGAGAGGAGAGTTATTAAATGGAGAGTTAGAGGTATTGGGAAGATGGAGGGAATATTTTGAGGAATTGTTAAATGTTGATGAAGATAGGGAAGCTGTGATTTCGTGTATAGGACAAGGAGGAATAACATCTTGTAGGAGTGAGGAAGAGCCAGTTGTGAGTGTGGGGGAAGTTCGTGAGGCAGTAGGTAAAATGAAAGGGGGTAAGGCAGCCGGGATTGATGGGATAAAGATAGAAATGTTAAAAGCAGGAGTGGTTGGTGCAATTATTTAATAAATGTATGGAAGAGGGTAAGGTACCTAGGGATTGGCAGAGAGCATGCATAGTTCCTTTGTATAAAGGCAAAGGGGATAAAAGAGAGTGCAAAAATTACAGGGGAATAAGTCTGCTGAGTATACCTGGAAAAGTGTATGGTAGAGTTATTATTTAAAGAATTAAGAGTAAGACGGAGAATAGGATAGCAGATGAACAAGGAGGCTTTAGGAAAGGTAGGGGGTGTGTGGACCAGGTGTTTACAGTGAAACATATAAGTGAACAGTATTTAGATAAGGCTAAAGAGGTCTTTGTGGCATTTATGGATTTGGAAAAGGCATATGACAGGGTGGATAGGGGGGCAATGTGGCAGATGTTGCAAGTGTATGGTGTAGGAGGTAGGTTACTGAAAGCAGTGAAGAGTTTTTACGAGGATAGTGAGGCTCAAGTTAGAGTATGTAGGAAAGAGGGAAATTATTTCCCAGTAAAAGTAGGCCTTAGAAAAGGATGTGTGATGTCACCGTGTGTTGTTTAAATATGGGGTTGTAAGAGAAGTAAATGTGAGGTTCTTGGGAAGAGGCGTGGAGTTAAAAGATAAAGAATCCCCACACAAAGTGGGAGTTGTCACAGCTGCTCTTTGCTTTATGACACTGTGCTCTTGGGAGATTCTGAAGAGAAGTTGCAGAGATTGGGGGATGAATTTGGTAGGGTGTGCAAAAGAAGAAAATTAAAGGTGAATACAGGAAAGGTAAGGTTATGAGGATAACAAAAAGATTAGGTGATGAAAGATTGAATATCAGATTGGAGGGAGAGAGTATGGAGGAGGTGAATGTATTCAGATATTTGGGAGTGGACGTGTCAGCAGATGGGTCTATGAAAGATGAGGTGAATCATAGAACTGATGAGGGGAAAAGAGTGAGTGGTGCACTTAGGAGTCTGTGGAGACAAAGAACTTTGTCCATGGAGGCAAAGAGGGGAATGTATGAGAGTATAGTTTTACCAACGCTCTTATATGGGTGTGAAGCATGGGTGATGAATGTTGCAGCGAGGAGAAGGCTGGAGGCAGTGGAGATGTCATGTCTGAGGGCAATGTGTGGTGTGAATATAATGCAGAGAATTCGTAGTTTGGAAGTTAGGAGGAGGTGCGGATTACCAAAACTGTTGTCCAGAGGGCTGAGGAAGGGTTGTTGAGGTGGTTCGGACATGTAGAGAGAATGGAGCGAAACAGAATGACTTCAAGAGTGTATCAGTCTGTAGTGGAAGGAAGGCGGGGTAGGGGTCGGCCTAGGAAAATTGGAGAGAGGGGGTAAAGGAGGTTTTGTGTGCGAGGGGCTTGGACTTCCAGCAGGCATGCATGAGCGTGTTTGATAGGAGTGAATGGAGACAAATGGTTTTTAATACTTGACGTGCTGTTGGAGTGTGAGCAAAGTAACATTTATGAAGGGGTTCAGGGAAACCGGCAGGCCGGACTTGAGTCCTGGAGATGGGAAGTACAGTGCCTGCACTCTGAAGGAGGGGTGTTAATGTTGCAGTTTAAAAACTGTAGTGTAAAGCACCCTTCTGGCAAGACAGTGATGGAGTGAATGATGGTGAATGTTATTCTTTTTCGGGCCACCCTGCCTTGGTGGGAATCGGCCAGTGTGATAATAAAAAAAACAAAAATAATTCAATTATTGGGAGGTCACAACTATAGGCATGTCAAGGTGACCTCTGGTTAAGTTTAGATAGACTATTCAATGTTAAGATCTATTTCTAAAGATTAAATCTATTATACTTGCCTAAGCATGGGGAGTTAGAAAGTACAAGTACTTACCTATTTACCCTAGTGTGGTGGGTCAGTCAGAGTGCTAACCTCAGTGTGTCAGTCTAGCCAGAGTACATACTAACCTTAGTGTGTCGATTCAGCAAGTAGGAGTACTTGAAGGCAGCCTTACAGTGCTGGCACTTATGCAAGAGTACGGATGGATGGGTGGTCCTCAGGTGTCGCCTCAATGCTGTGACAGACCGGCACCCGACACCACACTCTGGACACTCCTGATTGGTCAGTGCCGGCACCTTGGCGCCTGGGTGAGCCCGACTGAGTCCAGAGGGAGAGTACAAGTGTCAGTGGAAGGACTCTAAGCATAAGTATATAAATTTATGTATGTTGTATAAAACTTAAACTAAATCCTGTATTAATACAGCCTTTCCTCACGTAGCGACGTACTCGGACTTATGACCAGCTCTCTGACCAGCATGCAAACCTAAATATTGTACATTGGAGCTGATTTCCTCTGTTCTGTTTATTACAATATACAGTACACTTCTGTATAAACATTTAAAATATACTAAGAATGTTATACATGGTGCAAAGGTGACATTAAAACATCAAAGATGGTTGACACAAACCCACTACCATTACAGTATGCTCCTCACGTAGCCACAAATTCATTTACCGATGTGGCCTTAGGACCGCAACTCCGTCGTTAAGTGAGGAGAGGCTGTATTGTAAGCTGAATCGTCTAAAGTTAAAATATCATAACTTAAACCATCATCACACAAGATAAGGGATTTTAGCCCTAAACTCCTTGAGGGTCGTGACTCCCGGTCTGAAGTGTCCACAGGGTCCAAGAATTTTCAGAAATGATTTTTTTTCTTATGAAATGATAGAGAATGTTTTTCGAGTGAAACAAAAAGTATGAAATTTGATGGAAAACTGACGAAATTATGCTCATGCAAATTTTGCTGTGTCAGCGATATTTACGCATCAGCAATTTCGCAAATTTGAGGCCTAGTTTTGGCCAATTACACTGTCCCAGCGGACCAAATTCTTAGCTATTTCTTTAGTATGTGTTCCATTTTATTGACTGAACACAAGACACCGGCCAATCAACTACAGTGGACCCCCGCTGTTTGGCAGCCGCGACTTTCGTGAAATCCGACTTTCGGCAAGTTTTTTCGGCAAAATTTAGCTTCGCAGTTCGTGATTGGCCTCATGATTTGGCAACCATCTGGTACGCATCCGCCTGTCACCGGTCACACAAAGCCAGTCTCCCGCACTATTCACACTCAGTGTGCCATTGTTTACCAGCACATGACCATCACCCCGCGGGTTCATACAATACATTTCATGACTCACGAAATCGTAATGACACGATTGCAAACAAACCATACCCCGGCCGGGATTGAACCCGCGGTCAGAGTCTCAAAACTCCAGACCGTCGCGTTAGCCACTAGACCAGCTAGCCACAATAAGATTCGTCCAACTAAGTATATTTCTACACCATAGGAAGGTTAGCACAGGCACCACTGTGACCACAAATGCAAGTTTTTACAGACGAATCTCCAGCTAGCGTGGCCGTGACGAACTCTAGCTCAAGTCCCCTCACTGCCGTCAACATAACTCACGAAATTGTAATGACACGATTGCAAACAAACCATACCCCGGCCGGGATTGAACCCGCGGTCAGAGAGTCTCAAAACTCCAGACCGTCGCGTTAGCCACTAGACCAGCTAGCCACAATAATAATCCATTATTTTTTGTGCTTGCTACTGCTAAATATGTCACCAGGGGCCCAAGGAAAGCTGGTGCCAGCCCTTTGGTAAAGAAAGTGAGGAACATGATCGAATTCAAGAAGGAAATCAAAGAAAAATACGAGAGCGGAGTGCGTGTTACAGAACTTGCCAGGATGTATGGCAAACCCCATTCAACTTTTTACTTCAATCGTGGTGAAGGGAAAGGAAATAAAGTGTGCTGTTGTTACAAAATGAGTAGATATGCTGACAAAAAAGAGATCACAAACCCTTGAAGTAGAAAGGTTATTGTGGATTACCAAAAAACAGTTAGCAGGAGATAGTATTATGCAGTCGATAATATGTGAAAAGGCAATGACGAGTGGTGATGCTTGTGATTTTGAGGCCAGCAAAGGTTGGTTTGAGAGATTTAAGAAGCGTAGTGGCATACACAGTGTGGTAAGGCATGGTGAGGCTACCAGTTCTGACAAAAAAGCGGCCGAGAAGTTTGTACAGGAGTTTAAGGAGTACGTAGACACTGAAGAATTCAAACCCCAGCAAGTGTTCAATTGTGACAAAACAGGCCTCTTTTGGAAGAAAATGCCAAAGAGGACCTACATCACACAGGAGGATACAGCACTTCCAGGACACAAGCCTATGAAAGACAGGCTAACTCTCATGTTTTGTAATGCTAGTGGGGAGTGCAAAGTGAAGCCTTTACTGGTGTATCACTCTGAAAATCCCAGAGTGTTCAAGAAAAACAATGTCGTCAAAAATAATTTGTGTGTGAGGTGGAAGACTAACAGTAAGGCATGGATCACAAGGGAAATTTCCTTGATTGGTTTAATGAAGTGTTTGGCCCCAGTGTGAAGAAATACCTCCTGGAAAATAAACTGTCACTCAAGTGCCTCCTGGTAATGGACAATGATCCTGCTCATCCTCCAGACTTGGAAGAGCAAATAGTGGAGGAGTTTAGTTTCATCACGGTGAAGTTCTTACCTCCTAATACCACTCCTCTCATTCAGCCCATGGACCAGCAGGTCATTTCAAAATTCAAAAAACTCTACACCAAAGCAGTGTTTCAAAAGTGCTTTGAAGTGACCTCAGACACTGAACTGACCCTAAGAGAGTTCTGGAAAGATCACTTCAATATCCTCACTTGCATAAACCTTATAGGTAAGTCTTGGGAGGGAGTGACTTCCAGGACTTTGAATTCTGCTTGGAGAAAATTGTGGCCAGATTGTGTACAAGAGAGAGATTTTGAAGGGTTTGGGGCTGACCCTAAGGAGCCTATGCCAGTTGTGGAAAGTAGTGTGTCAATGGGGAATTCCATGGGGTTGGATGTGAGCTCTGAGGATGTGGAAGAGTTGGTGGAGGACCATGATGAAGAGCTAACCACTGCAGAGCTGCAAGAGCTTCATCTGCAACAGCAAGAGACTACAGCTCAGGAAATTGCTGCAGAGGAGGAGGAAGAGAGATGGAGGAAGACGCCTTCTTCAAAGATTAACCCTTTCAGGGTCCAGAGGCCAGATTTCAAAGTGCACACCAGGGTCCAAGAATTTCCAAAAAATAATTTTGTTATTTTTTCTTATGAAATGGTAGAGAATCTTTTTCTGAAGGTAATAAAACAAAAAGTACGAAATTTGATGGAAAATTGACAAAATTATGCTCTTGCGAATTTTGATGTGTCGGCGATATTTACGCATTGGCGATTTTGCCGACTTTGACTTTCATTTTAGGCCAATTATATTACTCCAGTCAACCAAATTCTTAGCTATTTCACTAGTATTACTTCTATTCTATCAATTGTGCACAAGAAATCGCCAAGTCAACTGTTTGAACATTAAAATAAAGTGAGCAGAAATTGGTAATTTGGCCAATTTAGTGCAAAGTTCAAAATATTCCAATTTCAAAATAGGGTCCAGAATAAACAATGTAAGTATTCCTGGCACTAAACTAACATTTCCTCTGTTCATTAGTTATGTTTTCAGGTTATACAAATGAATTCCATTTTGATTTTTTATTCACATAATGAATTTTTATTCAAACCAAAAAATAGAAGATTTACTGTTATGCAATATTGTAATAATTATATAAATAATATTACCACATTTATGAACGTATATTAGACCCACCAGCCGGCGTGTATTAGACATATATTAGACCCACCAGCCGGCGTGTATTAGACATACATTAGACCCACCAGCCGGCGTGTATTAGACATATATTAGACCCACCAGCGGGCGTGTATTAGACATATATTAGACCCACCAGCGGGCGTGTATTAGACATATATTAGACCCACCAGCCGGCGTGTATTAGACATATATTAGACCCACCAGCCGGCGTGTATTAGACATATATTTAGACCCACCAGCCGGCGTGTATTAGACATATATTAGACCCACCAGCCGGCGTGTATTAGACATATATTAGACCCACCAGCGGGCGTGTATTAGACATATATTAGACCCACCAGCCGGCGTGTATTAAACATATATTAGATCCACCAGCCGGCGTGTATTAGACATATATTAGACCCACCAGCCGGCGTGTATTAGACATATATTAGACCCACCAGCCGGCGTGTATTAAACATATATTAGACCCACCAGCTGGCGTGTATTAGACATATTAGACCCACCAGCCGGCGTGTATTAGACATATATTAGACCCACCAGCCGGCGTGTATTAGACATATATTAGACCCACCAGCCGGCGTGTATTAGACATATATTAGACCCACCAGCCGGCGTGTATTAGACATATATTAGACCCACCAGCCGGCGTGTATTAGACATATATTAGACCCACCAGCCGGCGTGTATTAGACATATATTAGACCCACCAGCCGGCGTGTATTAGACATATATTAGACCCACCAGCCGGCGTGTATTAGACATATATTAGACCCACCAGCCGGCGTGTATTAAACATATATTAGACCCACCAGCCGGCGTGTATTAGACATATATTAGACCCACCAGCCGGCGTGTATTAGACATATATTAGACCCACCAGCCGGCGTATATTAAACATATATTAGACCCACCAGCCGGCGTATATTAAACATATATTAGACCCACCAGCCGGCGTGTATTAAACATATATTAGACCCACCAGCCGGCGTGTATTAAACATATATTAGACCCACCAGCCGGCGTGTATTAGACATATATTAGACCCACCAGCCGGAGTGTATTAAACATATATTAGACCCACCAGCCGGCGTGTATTAGACGTGTGAGGTTGTTTGTTTACTCTTGAACATCGGCAAAAATTTAACATTTCTGCTACTTTGAGCTCAGTTTCAAGCCATTTCCAGTACTAAAACCAATCAAAATTATCTCTATTTCTGTAATATGTCTTCCATTCTATCAAATGAGTCCAAGAAATTGCAAATACGACTATAAAAAACATACGAAAAAACACTGCAAATTCAGTTTTAATCGAAAATTACGGTCTTTTTCTCTCATTATGCACTGTGTTGCAGGATTTGTTTTTTTGTGGTGCACACATACCATATAGATGTATTCTCTCATATCTAGGCCCAAACTTACTGCTCATAGCTTATCAGAGTGAGCTGAGCTCATGACGTAGATCTACGGTTTGGACTCTGAACGTAAAGCCGTAGACCTACAGCACGGACCCTGAAAGGGTTGACATTTGTGAAAAGTGGACTGAAGTGCAATTATTTATGGATGAACTTCACCCTGACAAATCTGTTGTAGGCTGTGTTGGCAACATGTACAGTGATAGTGTTGTGACCCACTTCAGATAAATCTTAACCCCTTGAATGTCGCAACCACAAATCCTGAGGTGTCTCCTGGTGTCAAAAAATTTTTGAAAAAAAAAAAAAAGAAAAAAAAAAAATCTTAGGAAATGATAGAGAATCTTTTCCTGATGGTAATGACACCAAAAGAATGAAATTTGATGGAAAACTTACGAAATTACACTCTCGCAAAGTTAGTGACCTCGGCGATATTTATGAATTGGCTATTTCGCCCACTTTGAGCCCTATTTTCGGCTAATTCCATTGTTCAAATCGACCAAACTCAGAGCTATTTCTTTAGAATTCCATTTTTTCTATCGATTGAATACAAGAAACTGCCCATTTACCAATTTCAACTACCCAATAACATGGTCAGAAATTTGAAATTTGGCCAATTTCACGAAAATTAAAAATATGACAATTTCAAAATAAAATTAAAAGTGAATACAGGAAAGAGTAATGTTATGAGGATAACAAAAATATTAGGTGATGAAAGATTGGATATCAGATTGGAGGGAGAGAGTATGGAGGAGGTGAATGTATTCAGATATTTGGGAGTGGACGTGTCAGCGGATGGGTCTATGAAAGATGAGGTAAATCACAGAACTGATGACGGGAAAAGGGTGAGCGGTGCACTTAGGAGTCTGTGGAGACGAAGAACTTTGTCCTTGGAGGCAAAGAGGGGAATGTATGAGAGTATAGTTTTACCAACGCTCTTATATGGGTGTGAAGCATGGGTGATGAATGTTGCAGCGAGGAGAAGGCTGGAGGCAGTGGAGATGTCATGTCTGAGGGCAATGTGTGGTGTGAATATAATGCAGAGAATTCGTAGTTTGGAAGTTAGGAGGAGGTGCGGGATTACCAAAACTGTTGTCCAGAGGGCTGAGGAAGGGTTGTTGAGGTGGTTTGGACATGTAGAGAGAATGGAGCGAAACAAAATGACTTCAAGAGTGTATCAGTCTGTAGTGGAAGGAAGGCGGGGTAGGGGTCGGCCTAGGAAAGGTTGGAGGGAGGGGGTAAAGGAGGTTTTGTGTGCGAGGGGCTTGGACTTCCAGCAGGCATGCATGAGCATGTTTGATAGGAGTGAATGGAGACAAATGATTTTTAATACTTGACGTGCTGTTGGCGTGTGAACAAAGTAACATTTATGAAGGGATTCAGGGAAACCGGCAGGCCGGACTTGAGTCCTGGAGATGGGAAGTACAGTGCCTGCACTCTGAAGGAGGGGTGTTAATGTTGCAGTTTAAAAACTGTAGTGTAGAGCACCCTTCTGGCAAGACAGTGATGGAGTGAATGATGGTGAAAGTTTTTCTTTTTCGGGCCACCCTGCCTTGGTGGGAATCGGCCAGTGTGATAATAAAAAAAATAATAATTCAAAATAAGGTCCAGAATGAACACTGCAGACATTCCTGGCTCTAAAATAACATTTTCTTTGTTCATCAGTCATGTCTCCAGGCCCCTCTGATATTACTCTTGCTTTCTATTTTGAATTTTTATTCAAACAAAAAATAGAAGATTTACTGTTATGCAGACTACTGCAATATTGTAACAATTGTATAAATAATGTCAACCCATTCATGACGGCATATTAGAATGGCTAGTTGGACATTTATTGGACAATGACATCATTTGTTTACTTTTGAACATTGGCAAAAATCAAACATTTCCCCTACTTTGAGCTCCATTTCAAGGTTCTTTTCATAATACAACCAATCAAAATCACCTCTATTTCTATAATATGTTTTCCATTCTATCAAATGAGATTGAGAAAAAAAGAATACAACCATAAATACTATACGAAAATACTACACCGAAAAGTTGGTCTTTTAATCCAAAAACACAGTCGGAGTTTTTTTCTTCTCATTATGCACTGCATGCTGCAGGATTTTTTTTATATGGTGCACACTGACCACAGAGACCCATTCTCTCACATGTGGGTCTACAGCTTTCTCCTGCTTGACTTGAAGCCGCTAGAATTTTTTATTATACCGTATATACGTCAAACACGGTGGCTCGTAAGATATACAGTGGTCCCCTGCTTTTCGTAGTTCCCGGCAATCGTAAATTTCGCCAATCATAGGGGTATTTTCATATAAACATGGACTCGCTTTTCATAGCTTGACTCGCGAGTCGTAGTTCGTCCGGGACGTGTACCCACGGCGTGAGCCGGGGCAGCAGCCAGTCTGGCATTGTTTACCAGTGTGCGAAGGTCCCCTCACGTGCTCCAGCAAAATATTTCATAATATTCTATTTATTTAAGTGCTTGCAAGTACTAAATAAGCTACCATGGCTCCAAAGAAAGCTCCTAGTGCCAAGCCTGTGGTAAAGAAGGTGAGAAATACGATTGAATTTAAGAAAACCATCATTGAACAATATGAAAGTGGTACAAGTGTTGCCGAACTGTCCAGGATGTATAAGAAACCCTACACAACCTTATGTTCCATAGTGGCCAAGAAAAAGGAAATAAAGGACGCTGTTGTTGCAAAGGGAGTAACTATGCTGACAAAAATGAGATCACCAGTACTGGAAGAGGTTGAAAAGTTATTATTGGTGTGGACAAATGAGGAACAATTAGCAGGAGATACATGTACTCTTATGACTTCGATTATTTGTGAAAAGGCTAGGCAGTTGCATGAAGATTTGGTAAAGAAATTGCCTGCAACTAGTGGCGATGTGAGTGAATTTAAGGCCAGCAAAGGCTGGTTTGAGAGATTTAAGAACCGTACTGGCATACACAGTGTGGTAAGGCATGGTGAGGCTGCCAGTTCGGACCACAAGGCGGCTGAAAAATATGTGCATGAATTCCAGGAGTACATAGAGGCTGAAGGACTGAAACCTGAAAAAGTGTTCAATTGTGGCGAAACAGGCCTCTTTTGGAAGAAAATGCCAAAGAGGACCTTCATTACACAAGAGGAAAAGGCAATGCCAGGACACAAGCCTATGAAAGACAGGCTGACGCTAATGTTCTGTGCTAACGCTAGTGGGGATTTCAAAGTGAAGTCATTACTAGTGTACCATTCTGAAAATCCCAGAGTGTTCAGGAAAAACAATGTTATGAAGAGTAAATTGTGTGTGTTTTGGAAATCTAATAGTAAGGCATGGGTCACGAGGGAAATTTTCGTCGAGTGGTTCAATGAAGTGTTTGGCCCTAGTGTGAAGGAGTATCTCCTGGAAAAGAAATAGGATCTCAAGTGCTTGCTAGTAATGGACAATGCACCTGCTCATCCTCCAAACTTGGATGACCTAATTTTGTTGAGGTGGTTCGGACATGCAGAGAGAATGGAGGGAAAAAGAATGACTTCAAGAGTGTATCAGTCTGTAGTGGAAGGAAGGCAGGGTAGGGGTTGGCCTAGGAAAGGTTGGAGGGGGGGGGGGGGGGTAAGGAGGTTTTATGTGCCATGGGCTTGGACTTCCAACAAGCATGCGTGGGCGTATTTTATAGGAGTGAATGGAGACAAATTGGTTTTTAATACTTGACGTGCTGTTGGAGTGTAAGCAAAGTAACATTTATGAAGGGGTTCAGGGAAACCGGCAGGCCGGACTTGAGTCCTGGAGATGGGAAGTACAGTGCCTGCACTCTGAAGGAGGGGTGTTAATGTTGCAGTTTAAAAACTGTAGTGTAAAGCACCCTTCTGGCAAGACAGTGATGGAGTGAATGATGGTGGAAGTTTTTCTTTCTTTGGGCCACCCTGCCTTGGTGACCACCCTGCCTTGGTGGGTCACTCTGCCTTGGTGGGTCACTCTGCCTTGGTGGGTCACTCTGCCTCGGTGGGTCACCCTGCCTCGGTGGGTCACCCTGCCTCGGTGGGTCACCCTGCCTCGGTGGGTCACCCTGCCTCGGTGGGTCACCCTGCCTCGGTGGGTCACCCTGCCTCGGTGGGTCACCTGCCTCGGTGGTCACCCTGCCTCGGTGGGTCACCCTGCCTCGGTGGGTCACCCTGCCTCGGTGGGTCACCCTGCCTCGGTGGGTCACCCTGCCTCGGTGGGTCACCCTGCCTCGGTGGGTCACCCTGCCCTGGTGGGTCACCCTGCCTCGGTGGGTCACCCTGCCTCGGTGGGTCACCCTGCCTCGGTGGTCACCCTGCCTTCGGTGGGTCACCCTGCCTCGGTGGGCCACCCTGCCTTGGTGGGCCACCCTGCCTTGGTGGGCCACCCTGCCTTGGTGGACCACCCTGCCTTGGTGGACCACCCTGCCTTGGTGGACCACCCTGCCTTGGTGGACCACCCTGCCTTGGTGGACCACCCTGCCTTGGTGGACCACCCTGCCTTGGTGGGAATCGGCTGTGTTAAGCCTTAACCCTGTCCAAACGCAGATATACGTTGACATGCGGCTCCAAACGTAGATCTATGTTTTTTACATGCTTTCAAATGGGGAAAATCAAGGTCGGAGTGTTACGCACATGAACGTAGATCTACGTTTGGACAGTTTAAGGGTTAATAAAATAAAATAACACCTTGATACATGACATACACACCTTGATACATAACATACACCTTGATACAGCAGTAGAGGAGTGTATGGCGTACCTGCAGTGGCGGATTAGGGAGGGACGACTGCGGACTAGTGCTGGACAAAGGTGACAGTGATGGTAGTGATGGAGGACATCACTATGTGATGACCTCAGGTGACTGTATAGTGATGATAGTGATGGCACTCCCTCACCACACTCACTACACTGTTGTTCATCATTAAAAAACCCATTATTATTATTACTACTATTATTATATTATTATTATTATTATTATTACTACTTTTAAAATTACTATTATCATTACTATTATTATTAGTAGTAGTATAATCATTAATATCATTAGTCATAATTATTACTGCAATAAATTTCTGTAATTTATTGCAGAAGGGCACAGGTGCCAGTGCCAGGATCAAGAACCATGGTGCCAGTGCCAGGATCAAGAACCATGGTGCCAGTGCCAGGATCAAGAACCATGGTGCCAGTGCCAGGATCAAGAACCATGGTGCTGCTCCAGGATCAAGAACCATGGTGCTGGCACCAGGATCAAGCACAGTCTCATGGTGCTGGTGCCAGGATCAAGAACCATACTGCGTGCCAGGTGCCAGGATCAAGAGCATGGTGCTGGTGCCAGGATCAAGACTATGGTGCCAGCCCCAGGATAAAGAACCATGGTGCCAGTGCCAGGATCAAGAACTATGGTGCCAGCTCCAGGATCAAGAACCATGGTGCCAGTGCCAGGATCAAGAACCATGGTGCCGGTGCCAGGATCAAGAACCATGGTGCCAGTGCCAGGATCAAGAACCATGGTGCCAGTGCCAGGATCAAGAACCATGGTGGCAGCACCAGGATCAAGAATCATGGTGCCAGCACCAAGATCAAGAACCATGGTGCCAGTGCCAGGATCAAGAACCATGGTGCCAGTGCCAGGATCAAGAACCATCATGCCAGTGCCAGGATCCAGAACCATGGTGCCAGCTCCAGGATCAAAAACCATGGTGCCAGTGCTAGGATCAAGAACCATAGTGTCAGTGCCAGGATCAAGAACTATGGTGCCAGTGCCAGGATCAAGAACCCGGTGTAGGCACGAGACCTCACCTTCCTGAGCAGCTCTTCCTGGCGTGTAGGTGCCAAGCTGTGTGAGCGCCGCATGTGGCGCCGGAGTGTGGCCTTGGACTGACCAACAGCACCACAGAGCCGGCACCGCAGCCCTGGAGCTGAAGCCACGCGGTGAAGACGACTGAGGTGCGACCGCAGTGCCGTACATGTCCTGTACTGCTTCACACACAGTGTACATGCATACATGACCTGTTGGAACACGTACATGACCTGTAATACACGTACACAACCTGTAACAACATACGTGCACAACCTGTAACAAGACACGTACACAACCTGTAACAACAAACATACACAACCTGTAACAAGACACATGCACAACCTGTAACAAGATACATACACAACCTCTAACAACACACATACCCAACCTGCAACATGTGTACACAACCTGTATTAACAAGTAATAATCTTAACTACACTACTGGGGGTCGTCCGGCGAGCAAATGTCAACTCTGGGAAGTAGACGAGGAGCAAGAACAACCCAAATTGAAGTGGTCGGACGACCTTACCGGCTCCTCTTTCCCCCTGATGGCTCGTTCCTCTGCCTCAACTTCCTGGCCGCCACCGCCGGTCTCAGCCACAAGTGGCTGCTTCTGCCGCTGCCTCTCATCCACTCTGACACTGCCATCAACTTCTGCTGCTCCTCTGACCTGTTGAAAAAAATCCATTTTAAGTCAGTAATCCCTGGATATATTCAATTATAATCCAGGGATCCTTATACAGTAGGGCCCTGATTTATGGTATTTCGCCTTACGGCATTCCGCTAATATGGACATTTCAAATTACAGTGGACCCTCCCTTTTTGTCAATCTCTGTTATCACTGATTTCCGTTTTTGCCGACTTTTTTCGTCAAAATATTGGTTCCATTTTCGTCAATGGTACGGAACCTGTCCAACTGATTGATGTTGGTTCGCCGGTACTTCCGGTCTGGGTCTTCTCCAGATGGCAACCTGGCGACCTGTCCAGTGCCCAGCGCACAGACAAAGCTGCCTCCCACATGCATTCTCAGGCAGTGTTGCATTGTTTCTCAGCGAGTGAACATATCCTGCCAGGTCAAACAAAACATTTTGTAATAATCCATTATTTTTGATACTTGTTTATTGTGTGTGACTACTAAATAAGCCACCATGGGCCCAAAGAAAGCTCCTAGTGCCAGTCCTTTGGTAAATAAAGTGAGGAACATGCTAGAATTAAAGAAAGAAATTGTAGCAAAGTACCAAAGTGGAGGAGGAAGAGAGAGAGGGGAGAAAGTGCCTACTTCAGTGATTCTGCAATATGTACGATACTAAAGCAGCACAAGTCGATAAAGGCTATAGTACCAGCCAGTGATAAAATGTAGCATTAACAGTGTAATAACTTAAGCGATTAATCAACAGAAAAAGGACAGCACGAACCTAACTCCTCCAATGATGTTGGAGGAATATAGGGCCACTGACAACACTGCTGCAGCCTTCACCACCACCATGTACAGCTTATGCTCTCAGTGGCCCTTATACACCCAATAACAACACAACAACACTCATGACATACATAATGACTTATTTTATTCATTCTAGAGTATATGTCATGTTTCTATGTTATTAATATTGTTTATGCCATATTAGTTGAATTGTGATAGATAAATAAGCTGTAAAGTTGATATTAGTGTCATATTCTCCAACAATAAACTCGCCTCCCCTCCCTCTGCTCCGTCTGCCATACACAAACAAGAGTCTTTAACCCTTTGACTGTCGCGGTCGTATATATACGTTTTACGAGGTGCCGTGTTTGACGTATATATACTCATAAATTCTAGCGGCTTCAAATCAAGCAGGAGAAAGCTGGTAGGCCCACATGTGAGAGAATGGGTCTGTGTGGTCAGTGTGCACCATATAAAAAAAATCCTGGAGCACGCAGTGCATAATGAGAAAAAAAAAACTCCAACCGTTTTTTTTAATTAAAATGCCGAATTTGTGGTCTATTTTCGTATAGTATTTATGGTTGTATTCTCGTTTTCTTGGTCTCATTTGATAGAATGGAAAACATATTACAGAAATAGAGGTGTTTTTGATTGATTTTACTATAAAAATAACCTAGAAATGGAGCTCAAAGTAGGGGAAATGTTTGATTTTTGCCAATGTTCAAAAGTAAACAAATGATGCCATTGTCCAATAAATGTCCAAGTAGCCATTCTAATATGCAGTCATGAATGGGTTGATGTTATTTATACAGTTATTACAGCATTGCAGTAGTCTGCATAATAGTAAGTCTAATATTTTTTGTTTGAATAAAAATTCAAAATAGAAAGCAAAAGTAATATCAGAGGGGCCTGGAGACGTGACTGATGAACAAAGAAAACGTTATTTTAGAGCCTGGAATGTCTGCATTGTTCATTCTGGACCTTATTTTGAAATTGTCATATTTTTCAGTTTTCGTGAAATTGGCCAAATTGCAAATTTCTGACCACATTATTAGGTAGTTGAAATCAGTAAATGGGCAGTTTCTTGTACTCAATCGATAGAAAAAATGAAGTTCTAAAGAAATAGCTATGAGTTTGGGCGACTGGAACAATGGAATTAGCCGAAAATAGGGCTCAAAGTGGGCGAAATCGCCGATTTGTAAACAGCGCCGAGGTCGCTAACTTCGCGAGAGCATAATTCCGTCAGTTTTCCATCAAATTTCGTTTTTTTGGTGTCATTACAATCGGGAAAAGATTCTCTATCATTTCATAAGAAAAAATAATTTTTTTTTTTTTTTTAAATTTTGCGACACCAGGAGACACCTCAGGATTGGGGGTTGCGACAGTCAAAGGGTTAATAAAGGTAAGTGTGATGGTAAATGTTCATTTATACATTTTATTAGTGCTTTACATTTATTTGTCATCCTTTTCTGCATGTAAATCTAAATTTAAGCTAGGGAAGTGACCCCTGATAAGGACTTGGTACCTAGAATCCTTATGGAGGGGGATTCCCCTTCCAAACAATAACCTCCCTTCCCTCTCTCCTCCCTGTCTTCCATCCATCAACAACAGTCTTCAATTAAGGTAACTGTCATGTTGAACATTTATTCTTTTGTGCATGTAAATCTATCTTTAAGGTAAAATTTTTTGTTAATACAGGTCTGGAATGGATTAATTTGATTTACATTATTTCTTATGGGAAAATGGCTTTGTAAATCATCAATTTCAATATTAGTCACATCCTCTGGAACGGATTAATTACGAAAAACGAAGATCCACTGTACCAGAAACAACACCGGTCCTAGGACTGACTCCTGTGGAACCCCACTGGTCACAGGTGCCCACTCTGACACCTCGCTACGTACCATGACTCGCTGTTGTTTTCCTGACAGGTATTCCCGATCCATTGTAGTGCCTTCCCTGTTATCCCTGCTTGGTCCTCCAGCTTTTGCACTAATCTCTTGTGTGGAACTGTGTCAAATGCCTTCTTACAGTCTGAGAAAATGCAATCTACCCACCCTTCTCTCTCCTGTCTTACTGCTGTCACCCTGTCATAGAACTCCAGTAGGTTTGTGACACAGGATTTCCGATCCCTGAAACCGTGCTGGTTGTCGCTGATAAGCTCATTCTGTCTAGGTGTTCCACCACTCTTCTCCTGATAATCTTCTCCACGACTTTGCATACTACAGTGGACCCCCGCATAACGATCACCTCCAAATGCGACCAATTATGTAAGTGTATTTATGTAAGTGCGTTTGTACGTGTATGTTTGGGGGTCTGAAATGGACTAATCTACTTCACAATATTCCTTATGGGAACAAATTCGGTCAGTACTGGCACCTGAACATACTTCTGGAGTGAAAAAATATCGTTAACCGGGGGTCCACTGTATACATGTCAGTGACACGGGACTAGTTTAGAGCCTCATGTCTGTCTCCTTTTTTAAAAATTGGGACTACATTTTCTGTCTTCTATACCTCAGGCAGTTGTCCTGTTTCGATAGATGTGCTGAAAATTATTGTTAGGGGGTACACGTAATGCCTCTGCTCCCTCTCTCAAGACCCATGGAGAGATGTTATCCAGCCCCATCGCCTCTGAGGTATCAAAGGCGATGTGCGATGTGTGTGTATGTGTATACTCGCCTATTCGTGGTTGCAGGGGTCAATTCATAGCTCCTGGCCCTGCCTCTTCACTGATTGCTACTAGGTTCTCTCCCTCCCCCTGCTCCATGAGCTTTATCAAACCTCATCTTAAAACCATGTATAGTTCCTGGCTTCACTACATCACTTTCTAGGCTATTCCACTCCCTGACAACTCTGAGGAAATACTTCCTAACATCCCTTTGACTCGTAGAAGTCTTGAACTTCTGTGTCCTACCTCTGGAACATCCTGACTTAGTCCACCATGTCAATTCCTTGCAGTATTTTATGTCATTATCATGTCTCCCTGACCCTCCTGTCCTCCAGCATCATCAGGCCAATTTCCTCTAACCTTTCTTTGTAGGACAATCCCCTTAGCTCTGGGACTAGTCTTGTTGCAAACCTTTGCACTTTCTCTAATTTTTTGACATGCCTAACCATGTGTGGATTCCAAACTGGTGCTGCATATTCTAATATGGGCCTGACGTATAAAGGTGTACAGGGTCTTGAACGATTCCTTACTGAGGTATTGGACACACTATTCTCAGGTTTGCCAGACACCTGTACACTGCAGCAGTTATCTGATTGGTGTGCGACCTCAGGAGAGGTGCTCGATATTATACTCACACCAAAATCTTTTTCCTTGAGTGAGGTTTGTAGTCTTTGGCCACCTAGACTATACTCTGCCTGCAGTCTTCTTTGCCCTTCCCCAATCTTCATGACTTTGCATTTGGCAGGGTTAAATTCAAAGAGCCAGTTGCTGGACCAGGCTTGTAGCCTGTCCAGGTCTCTTTGTAGTCTTGTCTGATCCTCAACCGGTTTAATTCTTCTCATTGACTTCACATCATCTGCAAACAGGGACACTTCTGAGTCTATCCCTTCCGTTACGTCATTCACATATACCAAAAACAGCACAGGTCCTAGGACTAACCCCTGTGGAACCCCACTCATCACAGGTGCCCACTCTGACACTTTGTCACGTACCATAACTAACTGTTGCCTGTCAGATATTCTTTGATCCATTGCAGTGCTTTTCCTGTTATGTGTACCTGATCCTCTAGCTTTTGCAGTAATCTCTTGTGAGGAACTGTATCGATGGCCTTCTTGCAGTCCAAGAAAATGCAGTCTATCCATCCCTCTCTCTCGTGTCTTACTTCTGTTACCTTCTCATAAAACTCCAGTAGGTTTGTGACACAGGATTTTCCTTCCCTGAAACCATGCTGGTTGTCATTTAAAAGCCTGCTCCACCACTCTCCTCCTGATAATGATCTCCATGACTTTGCATACTATACACGTTAGTGATACAGGTCTGTAGTTGAATGCCTCCTTTCTGTCTCTTTTCTTAAAAATTGGAACTACATTTGCCATCTTCCATACCTCAGGGAGTTGCCCAGTTTCAAAGGATGTGTTAAAAAATTTTGTTAGTGGCACACACAGCATCTCTGCTCCCTCTCTAAGGACCCATGGAGAGATGTTGCCAGGTCCCACCGCCTTTCAGGTATCAAGTTCACATAGCAGCTTCTTCAGCTCCTCCTCAGTTGTGTATTTTATCCAGCACTTGTTAGTGTGCCT